ATTTTATTAATCAAAGTTATATTTGTATATTTTTGGCTTAATCTTATCGTTCCTGTCGTTTGATATAGGTACTCTGCGACTCCCAGCTATGAGATAGTGATCAGAGTCAATATTAGCGCCTCTATAACTTCTGCAGTCTAGTAAATTTTATCCATATCTTGAATCAATCATTACGTTTTCTATCTGATTTTGATTCTGTTGATCCGGAGATGTCTACGCCACTCTATGTATACGTTTATTTTGGAAGTATGTACTTCTTATCGTTATGTTCAGAGATGTTGAGAAATTTACAAGTCTCCTCCTATTATCATTACATTCTTTGTGTATGCTATGAGGTTCTATAGTTTGTCTGTACATCTCTTCTTATTTTACCTTAGCGTTTATGTCTCCAATAATGAACTTAACGTCGTTATTTGGACATTGTATAGATGTTTGTTCTAATTTCTCACAGAATTCTTCTTTTTCCGTATTAGTTTTTTCCTCAGTGGGAGCAGATGCATTTATCAGACTATAATTGAAGAATGTTCCGCTTATTCTTAGAATACATTGCTAACTACAAAGCCTAACCAAAAAAAAATAACAACAAACAACAGAAGATATTTTTCATTTTGATGATATCTATAGTCAAGATCAAGATCAACGCCAAGAGCTTGTTAGCCAAATCTCTGACGAGGTGGAAGAAGAACCTGATATACTCGAAAATGAAGTAAGACAGGCTATTAACAAGCTCAAATACAACAAAGCACCAGGTCCAGATATGATAACAGCAGAAATGCTTAAAGCCACAGAAGAAAACCGGCGTAAATTTACTTCATCTACTCTGTAACCAAATATGGCGTTCCAAACAATGGCCTGAAGACTGGACAAAATCTACAATAACGACCATACATAAAAAAGGCAGCTTCCATAAATGCGACAATTATAGAACTATCTCTCTTATATCCCATGCCAGCAACATAATGCTACATATAATCAATGAGAGACTGAAAACATTCCTTCAAAGAGAAATTCCACAAGAGCAAACTGGATTTACCAAAGGTAGAGGCACTCGAGAACACCTGCTGAATATAAGACAGATAATCGAGAAATCTAGGGAATTCAACATCCCACTATACACCTGTTTTATAGATTACCGTAAAGCGTTCGACAGGGTCAAGTGGAGACACTTATGGCGAATACTAAAAGAAGTAGGCGTACCACAACATCTAATTACGCTTATTACCGAACTATTTGAACACACTACTGGATCAGTTAAAGTACTTGACACACTTTCGAACGAATTTCATCCAGAACGGGGTGTCAGACAAGGATGTATACTATCTCCACAATTATTCAACATATATGGGGAGTATATTATAGCAAGTGCGAAGAGCACTTGAAGGATGGGAAAAGGACATCTCAATAAATGGTCATAAACTAAACAACCTACGTTTTGCAGATGACACAGCCCTTCTTGCAAATAGTCAAGCAGAGCTGATAGAACTTATACGACTGATCGAAAACGAAAGTCAAATATTTGGTCTGCAATTAAACATATCAAAGACAAAGATCATGATAGTGGATAGACTACACAACAATCATCCACACATAACCACAATTGACCGGTTCGAGGTTGTGAGCTCATACTTATATCTGGGATCATTAATCACAAACACAGGGTCATTACAAGAAGAGATTAAACGTAGATCTGATCTAGCAAAAGTTGCCACAGCAAAAATGACCAAAATATGGAAGGACTGTCAAATTTCAAGAGCGATAAAGATGAGGTTGATCAACTGCTTAATATTCCCAATACTGACCTACGGATGTGAATCTTGGACTCTGAGACAATCGGAGAGAAGAAAGATAGACGCCACTGAAATGTTCTGTTGGAGACGAATGTTACGAATTCCTTGGACCGACCGCAGAACAAATAATTCAATTTTAAGAGAGCTAAAAGTTAGCCAACGACTCTCTAGTAAAGTCCATCTCCAACAATTAAAATATTTTGGGCATGTTATGAGAGCAAACACAGAAAACATGGAAAGACTCATAATACAAGGAAATGTAGAAGGCCGAAGATCACGAGGAAGATCCCCGACAAGATGGATAGATCAAATTACAGGAATATGCCAAAGACCTATGCATGAATTAAAAGAAATGACCAGAGACAGAGATCTCTGGAGACGGACAATACACGACATTACGTCGACCACTACACTCCCCCTGGGTGGTCAGGATTGGAGAGAGAGAGATATCTATAGTATATTGTATTCAAATTCTTCTGAATAGTACCAGTCCCTTTTCACTGCATCTTCTATTCTATATAGCTGTTACAGAATACAGTGTTATCACGTTCCATGATACAAATCAAATATCCTTTTTTCGTTTGCCAGATCGTCTACGTAAGGTCCGTCCGGTTTTTGTTTTTTCAGCTCTCATCTGTAACAATCAATATGGAATTATACATTGACATCTTAATTTCCAAAATTTAGTCTTATTTTTCGATAACGCCTTGACCTCGTTCCAAGACTTTCCTTGCCTTTTCAACTTGTCCATTATTAACCTTTTAAGTTTGTGCTGGACGTCCCCCTTTTCTTTTTCCTTTAGGACTCCTATCAAGCGCAGTCTTTGCAATACAGGAGCTATTTTTCTGTGTGTGTGGCCGTTCCAACTCCACTTTCTGGACTTTATTTTATTCTTTATGGCCATCTGTTTAGTCAAGTGTAGCAAACTGCGTTTCTAATGGAGTTCGGACCAAGAATAAGAATATTCTCTGACTGATAAAAGATCAAGGTAATTATACAGCAGGTCTAAGGTAAAAGGATAAAACAGATAAAAGGATATTTAACAAAGATGGCTAAAAGAGATATTTTAAATAAAGTGAAAGACGATATATTATAAAAAAATTTAAAATAAACTAGCAAATACAAAACTAAACACCAAATAGTCTGATTTCAAGTATAAAAACAATTTTAAGGTCATTTAACTTTCACGAAAACTCAAAGCTTGTATATACGTACAACATGATTTAATTGCTTTCTTCTTTGTAGATGATGGAATCAAATGGGTTCATCGAGCCTGCAGTCCAGATAACATTTGTTCTCAAGTAGCTGAAAGATACAACGACAACAGAAACGTTTTAGTGGATTGTCAAACATGCTCCGATCAAGACCTATGCAACTCAGCTGATAGACGAGTTGCTTTTGGAGAAGTTCTTCTAATTTTTGCAATTTTTATAGTTTTTTAAAAAATATTATTTGTCTACCAAATGTAATACAAAAATTTATTGTATGTATATTGTACTTTAATTAAAAGAAATAAATTATTGATATCGTGTATAGTTGGGTCTTTGTTTTTAATGACGTTATCGATGCTTTTAATGACAATATAGCTTATGCGATCATATAAGTTTTTAATGTATAAGTACTAATAGCCGATATGTGGAATGCACTAAATACGATTATTGAGGAGCTACATGCAGAATCCCTAAAAAAGGACTGAAAGTGAATTTCATCAAAACTAAACTAATGTCAAACACAGAAGACAAACCTATGATATACATCGAAGGGACAGGGATAGAATACGTAGATGAATATACGTATCGAGGTCAAAATGTCCAGGTAAGCAAAGAAAATCAGACTACCAAAATAAGCAGACGTATAAAAATGTGATAAGCAGCATTCGGAAGATTTTGATACGTACTTAAAAATAAAAATATACCTCAAGTATGTATCGGTATCCTACCTATACTTACATATGGAGCTTAAACCTAAACATTTAGTAAAATAAACATAAAGAAGATCAGAAAAACTCAAAGAGCTATGGAACGACAGATGCTGGGTATCTCACTCAAAGACATTCGTAATAGAACAAAAGTAAAAGATGCTTTTGAACAGGCAGCTAAACTGAAATGAAAATGCGCGTGACATAACAAACGTCTTAAGGATGGCCTATGGAATAAAAAAATCGAGAATTGGCGGCCATATGAAGCCAAAAGACCACGATGAAGACCGTAAATGCGCTGGTGCGACGATCTTAAAAGAACTGTAGGGCCAATGTGAAAACCTCTTACAAACAGCATAAAAAAGAAAAAAAAAAACATTACTTGTGATCATATTCTGACTTCGCGAGAAGTTAATAACAAACCTATTAATTATTTGCTTTTTTGTAAAGCTGGTTTCAGGTTTTCCGTATCAGTTTCATCTAATCCTTTTATTTCTTCATTTGTTACATGCGTATTTGCTGCAGCTTTGCAAATGATTAAAATAGTTCATATTTTCTTTAAAGCTATTTTTTCTCTTCGGCGTTTTCTATGGTAAAATTATTAATATAATTTTTTGTATGGTCTTTGTTTCTCTTTTACTGCTATTTTTATATCTCTAGCAACTATAACACCATCTCTCTTCTTTTTCTACATGTTAAATTCTGCCATTATGGATTAGTGTCATATTTTGTAGAAAATTTTGACAATTCTGATGCTAATGAGCAGTTGTATTTGAACAATATTTTATCTGTCCAGTGGTTACCACAATTAGGTTGTTGATATATTCTCTATGGTGTCTTTACAGCCTCTGTTTATAAACAAAGCATTTCTTTTACTAGTATGCTCTACCGTTTTTTGTTTCACTATAAGTACTATCAAATCTCCGATGTCTGAAGAACATAATGGCTAACAAAAAGGTGTAGCGTTGTACTATTCAGGTTTTGACACCTAAAATTTAGATTTAATAAAAATGTGTCGTTAATGTTGGTGTTAAGTCTGTAGTATTTGCCGTAACTAAAATTAATGAACTAGCTGGAGACTATTACGTGTTAGAATGTTGTTTACGTATAAGAACATTTGACTTCCCAATAATTCTAATCTTTATTTAAGTAATTTTCAGGGTAAACATAATGCATGTTTATTGTGGTGTTAGTTCTTTTGCAATTTATTGTAATCATAATGCATTTTGCAATGTTTGTTATCTTTATCATCCAAATTTAGATCATCATTAGTGTATAAAAGCATAATTGCATGTTTGCATACCATAATGTAGTTACATAGTTCTTAGCAAAATATCAAGAAATGACATCACTGCTGAAAATTTCGCTGCTTTTTCCACTTTTACTAGCGTTTGATAAAGGTACAGTTTTTCTTTATTCTTAAAATTTTTGGTAGTTTTTAATTTAACATTTTCTTCTTGGTCTATGTAAGTAAAAGTCATACAATTAGAGACGTAAGTGCAAGGATATTTTTTGTAACATAAACAACTTTTCAAGGTAAATGAATTCAAAGTTTTTTAATTAGAACTTTTTTATTAACTCAAACTTAAAGTACACTTTTTAATAATGATAATTTAACAATATTAATTCACAACTAAAGAAAAATATTGAATTATAAATGTACATAAATTCTTTATTCTCTAAGTAACTTAGGCAAACATTTTTAATTCAAAATGCATAAAGGATAGAAAAAACAATAAAACGATATAAAACCAAATGTTATTTCTAATTCGTTCTTTTTTTCTATTGTTTATTTCTTTCATTTTTGATTTCTGCGCTTTCTTTATTTTCTTATAGACGAGTATAAAAATGTCTATAAGTTTCCTCTATAAAACAAAGTTGAATGTTCTCAACGGACAGAGTATTTGTTTTGCTTGGTATAACTTCTAATACAAAACCTTCTCCTGAATTCGCCCTTACAATTTTTATTATATCCACTTTTAAGAACGGCGTGTTTGGATCTAATAAGTTTTTGTAGTAATATTCACCGTAGCTATCCACATGTATCCATTTGATATCATCTCTAAACTTTATTTTATCTCAATTCTTTTTTCTATTTAATAAGTGTAATTTATTTTCTATGTCTGCTATATTTTTAAAATCGTCGGTCATATTTATAATAACAGAACGTTTTTTACTTGATTCTCTTATAACATCTCTATATTGATCTGCGGCATATATGGTCTCAACTTTTCGTAATTTCTTTCAATTACTCCAAAATCTCTATCAGAATCTAAAAAGGAATCCCCTACTTCTGGAAATTTATGGTCTATTATCTTCACGTATCCCTTTAAAATTAAGTACTGATACAGGCATATTAGGTTAGACTTTTTGTTCTGCCCTGCACAGGAGTCAGATAATATGAGAAGACGGTTTATTTCTTTCATTCTGCTTGTTAAAAGTTGAACAAATGTGTGCAAGCTACTGCCACCTTCAAGACTGCCCTTCGTTGCTACATCTTCAGTCCAATTAAAAACGTACGCTTTATCACCCTCTGGCGTTATTGTGTGGATTCCAAAATTATAAAACTACATCTGCCTCAAATAAAATGCCTTAGAAGTAGTAAGGCGTGGTAAAGGCATGGTCAGTTGTAGGTTAAATGGTTAAATAGCACATTTCTTTATTATTATGTGGTCGTTCTCTATCAAATTTTTGTTGCTCAAAAACTTACTTACTGCATGTGTCACTTTTGGGCTGGCCGAAACACAAATTAAGTTCTGAGAAAAAAATGTGCGTATAAAATTTTTTTGAAACCAAAAACCGTTTGTGCATCTTAGTTTCTTGATATAATTCATGCAGTTTTGTTATATTTAACAAGGGAGACAAATACATTTTATTGGCATTTTTGTTTTGCAAATAATATGACTGTTCTGCAGGAAAAGAAAGAATGTGCCCTTTTACAGCATCAACCACATCTTTTTGTATTTTATTTGGTCTAGACTTATGCTGCTCCCTTTTATCTGGTGAAGTAGCTGTAGTCCCTGATTTTAATTGATTCTGAATGAGTTGCACCTGTTTATTTGATATTTGGTAAAGGGAGATAAAGGCAGTCTTACAGACAGTCTTGTTACGTGTCTGACACGTTATTGTGTAACCAAATGTATATGATTTATTTTTACTAATGTTTTTTCTATGGCGATTAACTGGCATAATCGAAACACATTTAAAAAGTAATGAGTTTTTGCATTTTGATCTAATGCGTAAAACTTACGAAATATTGTTCCCCTATCAAACTTGTTAAATTGCTCATCACATTTCTTTTTGCAATTTTCTGTTTTGCATAAAGATCCTAATTCGGCACTTTTGCTTGGCATCTCTTTTTTACTTTTTAACGATATGTATGTATCACCTATCTGTCTTGCTAAGGTAGTCTTATTCTTCTTTCATGTTTCAGGACGACGTTTCCTTATTCTTGATTTTTTTCTGGCAAATTAAGTACCATTTTCTTAACATTATTTACCCTAGATATTAAAAGACTTTCCTTCCTGTCCAATAGATTTTCAGTATTTTCATGTTGATATATAAGTAAAACTGAATCTTCTGCTGTAACATGTGGTACTGCTACTGGATAACTTTTATCTTCAAAATGAGAATCTTCAAAACTTTCGCTCGAATCAGTACTATCTGGATTGTAGTCATCTGAAGTATATTCTGGAGAAATTACTTCATCTTCAGAAATATAATCTAAAATTTAAATTTTTTTTTTTTAACATATAGGGTAGGTAGGTTACTTTATTATTTTTATCTGCAGACCAAAACCTGTAAACAATTTAATTTTAGAATGAATATTTACCGTTAAATGTATCTTGTAACTCTGGTGAAGATATCTGCTTTTCATGCAGGGCATTCTCGATTCTTGGTGCAGTTTTATCTTGTGCAGGTAAGGTTTTGGCAATATCTACGACAATAATATTATGATTAGTCTCTTTTTATTCAATCAAGTTGTTCTACAATGTTTAAATAATAAAAACATTGTTTTAAAACAAGTTTTATGCAGGTATTTTGTTACCGTTCCGGTAAACTCTTAACCTCAAATTATTATTAAGAAGCATATTTTAGTAAAAAACAAGATTTATTATTAATTCGACATACCTTCATACTGTTTGTGCCCCAGATTAAGTAAAAGTCTACTTCTTGCTGACATTTTCGCAACTTATTTCACTATTTTCATTATAAAAGTACACAGTACGATTTTAGATGTAAAGAACAACATAACCTAACTTTAGAGATCTATGTTACATGGCATGACAACAGCAATCCATTTGGTTAGGCATAAAAGATCTATATTAAGCACATGGATCTTTTTTACAATTTTATAGTAAAATATTGCTTGGTACATAGATCCTTTATCCCCTAATTAAATCGTTTCTAAACGTTTTTAAGCCAAATAAGTCTTATGAAGCAAATTTAGGGGTTAAAACAGACCTACTGAGCCTAAAAACTGATATTTTAAAAAAATGTTACATAGATCCGTGTAAGATTGATCTCTTGATCTTAATATTTAGGTAAGGTCGACTTAGTGCCAGAATTCGGGCAGCTGCCTAAATATTTAGTGACAGATTTACGAAATTGTCAAAAAATGTATAAAATAGAAATTAAAAAAAAATAAGCGCGGTTACTTTAACATTATGTAGGTATCTACTATTTCTGGGGTACCACAAATTGCCCAAAATTTATCAAAAAAGTTCCTTAAATTAATTAATTTCATTAAAAATGAAAAAATTCAACTTACCACCAGTATTTACTGCTATAAAAATTACACTATTTCAGTATTTACACACACGCACAAAGTTGTTTAATATCACTTTTAAAATTTCTGGTATATAAACACCATCCTTCTTTGTATTTTTGCTACAAAGTTGGCAAAATTTTTTTCTGCATATAGCATACTTAAAGCACTAAGTCGTTTTTTCTTTATGGTATGTCTAAGGAACGTTTTAATTCGTTTTAGCATCGAAAATCAACGTTTTGCTTCAGGTGTTGAGATAAAAATGGTAATTAAAATACTTAAAAATTGAATAGTTTCTTTAAATACATTTTAAACCTTTCCCATTTAATAAAACTGATAGCGAAAGTGCCCTAGAAGTTGTACTTGATTCGTCTCTCTGACACAGTACTACTAATTTAGTTTTGCCGAGTTTTATTTAAAAATAAAAATTGTCTGCATGTTTCATTAACAAATGATTTGGTGAACTGATGCTTATTAGCAAATAACTTCCGACATAATTAAATTAGATTAGAAGCAACTAAATGTCCGGAAAACGTGAACCTTGTTTTTATTTGCAACAAAACTGCATCGCATATCTCTAGGTTTCCCCTTTTCTGCTGGGCTTGTCCTATTCAATTAGCGTCTTTTTTATTCATCATCATCATTAATGGCGCTACAACTCTTCGTGAGTCCTTGCCGCTTTTAGTATTGCCTTCCATATTTGTCGGTCCTGTGCCAGTAATTCCCATTGTCGTACTCCCATTTTCTCTAAATCTTCTTTGACTGCATCTTTTCACCTTTTTCTAGGCCGCCCTACATCTTCTTCCATCTTATTCCATCTGGCCTTTCCCAGAACACATTGTTTATAAGGCGATTGTCGTTACTGATAAAATTGATGAAAAAATTTTTGTCATGGTACGGGTGTAAGAACCCGACCATTGATTGATGTGAGGAGGTAGACAGACCGAATAGAACTAATACAACATACAACTTACATACAACTTACACCCGTACCATGACAAAAATTTTTTTCAATTTTTTAACGTGTTTGTGAAGTCCAGTGTCGGCTTTTTATATGTTTTTTATATGTTTTAAAAATTCCAACAACTAAAAAAATCATAATTTTGAAATTTAAGGAAATGAGATCTCTCTTTTGTAGTGATATTTAAAAAATTGACGTAAGTTAAAAATTATAATCTTTACCAATTAGTACTTATAAGAACATTTTATTGTAGCATAGCTCTGATGATGGCTTTGTATAGCCGAAAGCGCTCAGCTAGGAATTGCCTAAAATATACACACTTCAAAAATACTTTTTTGCATTTTCTTTCGACTTGTCATAAGTGTGTACAAAAAAAAATATCAGTCTTTTGATTGTTAATCTTATATAATCTTATTGTACTTGTTTTAGCTTTCTCTTTGATGCAGATATTTCGACAATATCATGTAAAAAATAACGTTCTAAAATATTGAACACTTGAACACTGGAATAAAATAATTTGACTCTGGTTTATAAATAACTTGCTTTTTTAATTAAAGTTACATTAGAAGAACATGTAGTAATAGATATATTATAATTGTTTTAGGGAATTCCTTGGAGTGTTATACATGTATAGCTTCGAGATATGAACACAATAGATGTCAAAGTTATACGACGAAAGGCAGCCTGCCAGTAAGCAAATGCCATGGAAACTCGACACATTGTGTCTCTTTCTTTAATGATGGTAGGAACTGTAAAATAATTATATTTTATTCTTTTTTTAAAGCAATTACTTAACATTAGAAATCTTAATTCTACAACTTGTAAAGCAGACAGATTAATAAATTAGTCGACACTTGAATTTATAATATGCATTCCACATGCCGTTCATCACGGTAAAAATTCTTAGTAAATTTAGTTTCTAGTACTCGAAAAAACTAAAACAGAAAAACGGTCTTGGATATAATTTTATTTCAGAACATCTGCCATCCACTTATATGTATTTCATCCTCATTAAATATCATCATTGCTCTGATGATACCTCTCTCTGTGTGTCTCTCTCTCTCTCGTTAATAGCTCTACATACCTTTCTTGGGACTCTTCGTTCAAAGACTTTCAGCTTTCTTTTTGTGTCTTCTGTCATTACCCATGTCTGGCATCCATAACATACTATTGGTCTGCTAATAGTTTTGTAGACCCTGATTTTTGATCTCCAGTGTGTGTTTTTGGAGCGAAACATATAGGCGAGTGAAAAGTAAGCTTTGTTTCCCTTTACTGTTCTTCTTTAAATTTCTGGTTTTGCTGTTCCATCCCTATTTAAAGTAACTCTAAGATATGCGAAACTTTCTACAGTTTTAATATCGTCCTCTAATTCAACTGTACGTCTGTTTCCCCTAGCTCTTTCCTGTATTAGTTTTTTTTTCTTTTGAATATTAATTTCTAGTCCGGCCTCTTCTGAACCTGTTTGTAACTGTGAATATATTTCTACCACCTCTTTTGTTCTACAAGACATAATGCTAATGTCATCGGCATAGGCGGCAATCTGTATTGATTTATTTGTTAAAGAGATTTGCCTTAATCCTATCAATATTTTACAAGATTCCGCAAAGTTCTTAATCTACTAAATTTAAACAAATGTTCTTGATTCGCTAGTCGTCCTATTTTAATATGTCTTTAAAAAATTTCAAAAAGCTGTTGTCGAAGGGACCTAAAAAAGAAATAATGTGTTAAACTTATCAATCACCACACCATATCGTACCGTAGTATCTTTTGGTCTTAATATATATGTAAGTATATATAAATATATAATAATATGTTACATCGCTAATTTATTTAACTTTTTAAAAACTACTTTATTTGTTACAAATCAAAATAATAAGACTACAAAACTGACTTGACAAGGTAACAGCTAAGAGTGGTCTTCGACATATAAAACCCTAATTTATAAGCTGCTTATACATAAGTGTAGTTGTACACACAGTTGTGGCTCCAATTGCTAGTGGACGACGGTATGTTGAAAGGTTTTCTGCGTGTCAGCTGTATGTGTGAGAACTGCATGATGAAAATATGTAGTCGGTGAACCTCAGCTAGTTCAAGGTTAACATTTTCTCATATAACATATATATTATCTTTTTCTTCCAGCATGTAGACGTTTATCTGTCATTTATTTGTAATTTATATCACGGTTTATATGTTTTAAAGTTTTTCCCTATTTTAGAGTTAAAATTATCTTTAACTAACTTCAATACTTATAAATCATTATTTCTCATGTATATTTTTTTAGATATCGTTGCCAGAATATGTGGTACTGCTCGCACTTGTGATGAAACCAACTCAATAGAATGTCATTTGTGTACTGAAAGCTACTGTAACTTTCATTACATGTATCGAAGGCGGTATATCCGACAAGCACCAGAAAACAATGCCACAACGACTGCTGGAAATTCAACCGTTGAGACAGTAACTGCTACTACTGTTATAAATGCAACAACTGAAACAGTAAATTCGACATCTTCAAACTTGGAAACTGGATCAACAAATTCTTCTGAAATTTCCTCTACTATAACAAGTAACAATACGACCTCGGCTACTGGATCACCTTCTGCAATAATGACGTCTACACCTGCAAACGCGAGCACCGCATTATTAAACTCTTCCTCTACAACTTCCAATTTTGGACAAACAACTCCAAAACAAGAAGACACAAATAGTAGAGCTGCATCAATTTTGTTTCAAAGTATATTTACTACCTTTATTATAGTTTGTTTATTATTTATATTCTAAAGTAATTATTGCTTAATATTATAATGTATTCTATATTTATTCTAATAAAACGTTATATAAAATTACTGGGGTATTAGTGTTGGAGTGGGTAGGTTTCATTAAAGTATCCTGAAAATGAAAATCGACGGTGCACAAAATGTAGTTGAGTGCTTCTAGATCTTGAAGATACTTTTGCTTCTTTTGATTACGACAGCTAGCGAAAAAAAACCATTGCACATATTAGAGAAACGGATTTGATGTTCATAGACCTTAAGAATTGTAGAGCTGCGTTCAAGAGGTAGTACCTTTTGTCTTAAGACCGTCGCACCTAGAGTCTAGACTAGAATTGGTTTGAAACAACTGACCCTCACAGGACAGTACGCTCTCACTTATGGCTCCATGTGAAACAACAAAGTAGCTGCATCGACTTTAGGCTAAACTAAATGACGGTAGCCAGATATGATGAAAAATTTACCGAATGGTAAGTACATCCTTTTAACCTAGAGTTAAGAAATTGACCTTAAAGTCGGCTGAATTAAGAGTTTTTGCAAAAGAGTAATGAAGCACCGTAGCGTCTGACCAAAAATTGACGGCTGCAAGCAGTGTTTGTACCCAGAATGGGTGGCTAAATACAAAAATCGCCACAACGCTTGACTAAAGCGGCGTTTGAAGGTCAAATTTCTCCTTATAATCAACGACTGTACTGTACTATAACATGGAACGAGTCCTTAAGAGTAAACACAGTGAACCCTATTTTTGGGACGTTTGTTTAGAATACCATTACATATACCGTAGAGGTCTACTTACAGTACAAAAAAAAAACAATATAAAAAATAACGTAGCAAAAAAAAACTAAAAAAGGAACAACTGAATAAAGTGATTTCAGAAGTAATTCATTACATGCTTCCATTCTATTAGTAATTGCTTTTAAAAGGTATAGACATACTAATGAGAAGGAAATCATTTTGCGGTTGTAAACACTATATCTACTTTAAATAAAGACTAAAAATTAAGAAGCCGGTATAACAAATTAAAGAAAAAACAAACGACAGCAAAGTCCAAGAAAAGCTTCTTGCCAAAAGGAATCTTTAATATCTAGAATAATTTGGATCGAGATGTTATATCGGCAACTATATTACATACTAACATTTTTAAAACTATACTTGATAGTTCTATGTTTCATTTACAGGACTGCATCATTTTAGGACTAAATGAGTGAATTTTTCCCTGAGAGAGAGTAACAGTCGTATAGCAAATTGTGGATAATAATAAAATAAAAAAAAATGTAATAATATATTGGGATGTAAGGGATAGTGATGCGCAACATATAGCCTCTCCGATCTAAATGTCAACTTCACCTACCCGTGTAATGGTCTTGATCCTGACTATTCTGTCCATCCTGCCAGATAAAAAAACGAGGCTCTGACGTCCGAGCGATTGCCTGTGTAAGCAATCCCCCCACTTACTGGCCAACAAATTCGGGTGAATAAGCTGGTTGGTAAGTGGCAGGGTACTCCTTTGTCCTAGGGTTGGGAAACTAGCCCTAAAGAGAGATCCCCAAGAGATAATAAACATCAGATAATGAGAAATCAAATAGATTACATAATAATTAAAGAAAGATATCAGAATAGTATTACTGCAGTCAAAACACAACCTAGAACAGATATAGCATCTTACCATAATCTCTTAGTAGCACATATGAAAATTAAAATGAAAAGAATAGAGAAGATAGCAAAAGAAGAAGGAACTGATATAAATGCAATAAGAGATCCAGAAATCAAAGAAAATATCAAAGAAAAAATAATTGAACGTCTAAACACCGTACAGATTGAAGGGGAATTCAAGGAAGAAAACATCAACAAAAACTGGGAAAAAATAATGGCTGACTTAACCGAACCTTCAAAAAAATATCTACACAAAACCAAAGAAAAAAAAGATTGGATGACGGACTAAATACTAAACTTGATGAACAAAGGAAGAGTATATAAAAATAAAAATAAATCATTGTATCAGCAAATACAAATCGAAAAATTGGTTAAAAGAAAAATGTGATGAAATAGAAATGATATTGTTCCAAAAACAATTCTATGACACCTTAGACAAAGAATATGATCGATGTCCACGTCATGACGTGAAAATCATTGCTGGGGACCTTAATGCAAAAATTGGCAAAGAGCAATTTTTCCAGCCAACTATAGGACGTGAGAGCTTACATGAAGAGTCAACTGATAACGGGTTGTGACTAATAAACTTTGCAAGTACTAAAAACATGATAGTAGGAGGAACAAGATTTCCCCATAAAATGATACAAAAAGGAACATGAAAAATCCTCTGATAACGAAACCATTAACCAGATAGATCACATCCTGATAGATGCAAGGCACTCTTCCGATCTCATAGACGTCAGAAGCTACCGAGGCCCAAACATTGACAGTGACCACTTTCTTGTAATGGCAAAAATCATAGGAAGAATATCAAACCTAAAGAAAGGTAAACACACGAAACAAGACAGAATTAATGTTGATAATCTGCGCATTGAAACCGTTGCGAGAGAGTATAGGAGACAAATGGACGAGGAAATGGAGAGCCTGGAGGTGGGGGGAAATGTAGAGGAACTGTGGACAAAATGTAAAAACATAATAACTGAGAAAGCAACAAAAATATTGGGGAAAACCAAACCAGTTAAGGAAAACGAATCGTTTGACAAGGAGTGCCAAGAAGCAACAGATAACAAAAACAGGGCATACTTAAAAACAAATTAAGCTGGACACACAAGAAGAGCAAAGGAAGATTACCGAACCCTAAGAAGAGAAGAAAAATGATTACATAGAAGAAAAAAAAGACAATTTGAGCAAAAGCAGTTGGAAAGCACAGAATGGCTAAGAAATCAAAATGAAACTCGAAAGTTCTACAGAAATCTAAACAAAATACGCAAAGAGTTTAAGCCAAGAATAAGGAGCTGTAAGGATGTAGAAGGAAACATCCTAAATGATACGGCCTCAATCCTAAACAGATGGGTTGAATTTTTCGATGCAAAATTTAATGGCCATCATATCAAAGAAGCAGATAACACCCTAGCAAATCAAAATGATTGGAATCCTTTTAACCCAACCGAAAGACCACCTACCATCGAAAACGTTGCCCAAGCCATTAAAAAGCTTAAAAATAATAAATCACCAGGAGTTGATCAAATTTGCAGTGAGCTCTACAAGAATGGTGGCGATGCCCTACTACAGACACTGCATAAGCTTTTATTTCTTGTTTGGCATAATGAGACCATGCCCTGTGAATGGTCTCAAGGCGTGACATGCCCGTTACATAAAAAAGGTGACCAGCTCCAGTGTGACAACTATAGAGGTATAACCCTGTTAACAACTGCTTACAAAATACTAGCAAATATTCTCTACGAAAGGCTACAAGTTTACACAGTGGGCATAGTTGGTAAATATCAAGCTGGATTCACTCCAGAAAAATCAATAATTGACCAGATTCATTCAATAAGACAGATTCTCGAGAAAACATTAGAATTCAATATTGAAACCATCACCTATTCGTCGACTTCAAGGCCGCATACGACAGTGTCAAGAGAACAGTGCTATACCAATCAATGCATGAGTTTGATATTGCCCTAGAAAAGGTAACCCAAGATACACGAATTAGGGATGGCGGTACTATTTACAATAGATCGATACAAGTCCTAGCATATGCTGATGACATTGACATAGTAGGTTGACATTGAAACAGGTCGGTCTAGTCATCAACGAAGACAAAACCAAGTACATGTTGGTTACAAAGGATCCGATAGCAAATGAGGAACGAGAAACAGTCTTTGGAAGTCATACCTTTGGACGTGTTGGACTTCACATACCTTGGGTCGCTATTGACTGCTACCAATAAAACAAGCGAAGAAATCAAAAAACGAATAAATCTTACAAATAGGGCATACTATGGACTCCAAAAGCATTTCTACTCAAGAAACATTCAAAGAAAAACTAAAATTATTATATACAAAACATTGCTGAGGCCGGTCCTCACATATGAAGCAGAAACATGGACTCTAACGCAGAAAGATGAAAGACTTTTGGGAATATTTGAGCGTAAAATACTCCGCAAAATATTTGGAGCTGTAAACGACCAAGGGCAGTGGCGCAGAAGATATAATTTTGAATTGTATCAGCTTTTTGATGAGCCAGATGTCATAACGTTCATTAAAACACAGCGACTTAGATGGGCTGGACACATAATACGAATGCCAGAAAATACCATTGCTAAAAAACTAACCACAGGAACACCTGTAGGAAAAAGAAGCAAAGGCCGACCGCGAATTAGGTGGTTAGATGGAGTAGAAACCGACTTACGAATATTAAAAATCAGAAGATGGCAACATGTTGCCAAAAACCGAACAGAATGGCGACGAATCTTAGAGCAGGCCAAGATCCACAGAGGATTGTCGAGCCAAAGATGATAATGATGAGATATGCCAGTTTGGGTAAAATACGACCTGTGTTTCAAATGGTTAAAGGCAGTTTCCAGGTGAAAAATATGGTTCTTTACATACGTCTAATCTACCTATTATCAGCCGTGAAAGGGTGATTTCTTTAATTTCTCTATGCATGTTAAACAAATTTTACAATTTTTTGTTTTTATTCTACTTTATTTTCTCTTTTGACCTATTTTTTGCTTTATTTAGTTTTTTTTTGTATAATATATCGGTGTATGTTACTATACATAATATGATTTCATCTAATTTTAAATTATCCTTTTGCTCTCCATTAACTTGAGTATTTCATGTTCATCCAGTGTTTTTTGCATTTAAATCGATTAATTTTTATTATTTCTAAGAATGTTATTTTAAAGTTTTTCCACTGACTGTTTGCTTACTGATTTTAACTGTTATCATTACTAGTTGTAAATGGCTTCTAGTTTACCTAATGACAAACTAATATACAATGTACTCACATCGATAAATTCTGGAAAATATCAAGGTAATGTTAAGCTATTTTTAATAATAGTGGGTATTTTTGAGAACCTGACAGTCGGATATAACTATAGACAAGCATTTCCTTATCTCTCTCATAAATATTAA